CCTCTATTTTGTATGATGCTACTGCCAAGGAATCAAATTGTCAGGAAAAGAGATTTGACATATTTATAGAAGACGTATGAATGGATCACTGCCATCTTTTATACAATAGCTTTTTACATTTTAATCTTTTACAAAGACACTTGTATATTATTAAGGCACACTTTGTGTACATATGTATGTGTTTTACCAGGCCCGATTTAATTTAATGTTGCTGTTTTTAAAATGCGTATTTCAATCAAGCTACAGGGGCAAAGCGAGGCTGCGTATATTTGCGGAGATGAAATAATTCCTGAAGTGCTGCAGTGTGCTTCGCTCGTCTTTACATCATTTCATTGTGCTGTGTTTGTGTGTACATTGAGAGCATACAACACAATGAGCCATTGTTCTTTATATCTGAATTCTCTTTTTGATACAGAGAGAAATAATTTATTTATGGATGACAGAATTATAGAAATAAAGATATATTGGTGAATTTTGAGAATGAAATCTTATTTAAAACAACAGAGTGAGGTTTTTAAAGAAATGCAGTCAACATTTTAACAGATTAGATCATGTTTGGTTTGATGTTAACGATGATTTTACTCAAGACCCTCCACCATCATTCACCACTGACCCCCAGAAGATTCTATTTATTGTCCAGAGCCCCATTTGATCAAATGGAAAGATACACCTTATAAGCTTGTAGCACTACCTGCATATTTTACCTGCTCACCAAATATGTTGTCTAAAACATGTTGTCTAAAACAGTATTCCCATATTTGGGAAATAAATGCTCTATTAAAACCTTTTGGGATACTTAACTGCAGTCTTTTTATTATTTAAAAAAAAAGCAAACGTGGGATCAGTTCACACTCTTTCATTATTCAATTATAATCACTTGTTAGATATTTAAATACTGTAAATGCTTTACAAACAATGATTCACACAGAAATCTCAAACAGTATTGTAACTTCAAGTTAGCTCTGTTAACAGTTATAAAAATACCTATACATTTAATTGTTTTGAAAGAAAGACATGTCTAGACAAAAGCTATTATATCATTATTATACGTACTATCCCATTACTTATTGATTACATTTTTTTAAATGACTGATATTTTTGCCATTCTATACGATTTTGTTTTTGAAATGTTTTCAGAAAGTACTTTTCCCAGAGCTGCCAAATCTCACCCTTTGAGAGTGAGAGTCACGCAATTTAACCTCTTCACACGCCTCACGCCACACTTGCCATTTCACACGCTTTTTTCCCCCCTCTCACTACTTTATAATTATTTTTTTAATTTAATGATATATTTCCATAACTTGTTGCTTGAGGCTTTCCGTAGTTTGAGTCAGGGACAGGGTGAGCCCGCCCTATTCTGCCCCCGATTGTCTGACTGAGATATGTGATAACCAATCATCAGCCCCCAACGAAAGGCACCACGTATACAAACCAATCAGAGGCAGCTTAGGGCGGGTCATTGCGTCTCTATCCTATGAAGACAACTCTATGAGAACAACACTTATGAGGAATTGAAAAGTAAACGTGAGATGTCTGTCAGCGCCTCAATAATGCCGTGACTGACATTTTCATCTGAAGCGGGAGGTTAAACGGTAGGTAACCCACTTCATTTTTACAAACACATTTTACAAATATTTTTATTTTGTGTAATTAAGGATGTAAAGAGAGCATCTGTAGCCTCTGTGTTACTAATTGCAGCCGATATGGAGTAGCCGTGCTTAGTCTGGAGGAGGAAACCTTTTGAACCGGGACCTTGTGCTATCTTGTTATTTCGGATCAAATATATGTCCTCGCTGCTATGGTTATATCATCGTCTGGGCCTCGTTTCGTTTGATTTGGTATACAGCATCGATGATTCATGTCTTTTGCGATGAAATTCTTGTGCGCAATCGGTTGCTTTGTTGTCGTTGATCAGGTAGTACTCATTTTATCCTTGTTGGACCATTTGAGAGTTTGGGGAGTAGTAAGAGTATTTAGTAAAGCATTGGGGTGTGCCGGAGCAATGTTGCGTGTTAATAGTTTAATGTCGTCTGAAGGATTTGATCTCACGTGGTCATGTTGATTCTATATATGTGATATTGAGTTGTTGGATGTTTGGGTTTTCCGTACCATGAGGTTGTAGCGCAAAGTGTTCGTCGTTTGTGTGCTACCTTTGTTTGAATCTGCTCTCTCAGCAAGATGTCTGATTCAAGCTTCGCAATTATCTTCTATGGTTGCGTCGAGTCTGTAATATGTTTTCTAGTCTAGAGAATGTCTGGTAAGATGCGCGGAAGTTATTGGTGAGATATGCAAGAGAAGTCTGCTCATTTTTGAGATGTAAAGTTTTCTAGGGTGTCTACTCTAGGACGACGATCAAAACTGTACAGCATCTTTTTTGCAGTTAATGAGAATTGAAACACAGTTGGGTGTTCTTGGATTGGTTTGTTTAATATCGAGCTCGTAGAAATATATGTTGTTGGATTGTGTTTACCTTTTTATCGTAACTAATGTAAAACTTCCTTCCTTGGATTCTGTCGATCGATTGTATTATTTGATGATAGGCCCATATATGCTGGCGAGGGGAAGCGCTCAATGAGGTACGATGGCTGGTGCACCGAGCTGCCTAGAAGCTCGTTAGCCGTTACAGTATCTTCTGGTCCTATACAGTCTTGAGGTGAGTATGTAAACTAGTGCGAGCATGCAGCAACATAGCTCTTTGTCATTAGCGCGTGAGTTTTGATGGGATGTAGTTACACCGAGTTCATTACATTCGACTTAGCCCAACAATCAATAAGTTCTCTGAACAGCGGCTCTAGGTAAGTGGGAGAATGTTATGGATGTAAGATAGATGGCGTGTACGAATATGACTTTTACGTCGGCTCTCGGGATCTCAAGAGTGGGGAGGTGTGATTATCTGATAAGAAAGTCTGAATATAGGTTTGATTGCTGTCTAGGTACTTCATATTGTCGAAGGCATCTATCGTACTGAGGTCGCAGTTGTTGTCTATTCAGATGTACAGATGAGCAGAACTAACTAACGCTAGAATATAGATATATCACTGTCTTGGTATCGTGATGTTGGCGTGTCCGATGCTTAGTGTAGGCATGTTTCTATAGGGAACGGTAGTATCGTATCGATAGGGGTAATTCGGGGGAGTTGGCGTTTGAGCATCTTCTTGTTGGTTTTGTTGGTATTCTAAATATTGATTGTTGTTCGTGGGTTTACAGTGGTGTGTGTCGTTCGAATAGTCGAGGGTGGCCAACAAGCAGACAATTTGGCGTTGGGTAGACGCTTGGTAATGGTCGTGGACGTGGACGAGTGTCGTCGGACACATTGCAAGTACAGAGTGCATCAGTCTGGTTGGCCAANATTTACAGTACTGTACCTGTGCTGTTTGCATTTCTGTCTAATAAAATATTCAATCAATCAAACAGTAACATGTAGCTATCTTTTGAGACTGGATCATTCATTCCTTAACTGTATACTTCGATTTCTGTCTGTTAGTTTGAAAGTCTGAAAGATGTCAGGTAGACTCTTTGCTCTTGTCACATTTTCTTAACATTTTCTTAATAGATTGTAAAGTTTAAAGACCACATCTGAAAAACAACCCGATTCAGCTACATTACTTTACCACATAGTGTTATTTTTAGGTTTCCTAAACTTCTCCCATACAACGGACCTGACGAGCGTGACAAACTGAGTGAGGAGTTTCTGGACTACCTGTCCATGGACATTGCCATGCCCGAAGACCCAGCCACGTTCGACATTGAGAGCTTTTGGGGGAACATGGCATCAATGAAGAATAAGGTAAGAATTATTCTGCACCCTTTGAAATACCCATTGACGTAATCAACTTAATTCTATACAAAAATACTTGAGAGTAATTAGGCTTCCTATGTAAATTTTTCAAGGGTGACCGGTATGAGCAGATTTGGGAGGCTCTCTCATATTGCCAAGTTGGTGTTGGTACTTCCACATTCAAATGCTGAACGAGTGTTCTCTGTGGTGGGACTGAACAAAACCAAAACCCGAAACAGTTTGGCTCTTGATGGAACTCTATCATCCATCATGACTGTGAAGATGGCAAACCTTGAGCCACAGTGTTTCAAATGGGAGCCTCCTCCCTTTGTCATCAAGGCATCAAAATCTGCCACAAACACCTACAACATAAGACATGTAATGTAAACCAAAACACACAAACAAAGACATGCACTTTTATTTTTGTATAATATATAT